TTGGGCGATAGAACAAAAGTTTGGTAATAAAGTCATTAGCAACGGTTTTCAAAGATCTCAAAATACAGACCACAATATTAAACTCCAATCTAGACCTGGACTTTAAAATCTTGTATGACCTATGACCCATCATGGTCCTAAGAATCTTATGTTATTTGTCAGGATGAGTCACTAAGCAACGCGGTGGGGGGGGGGGGGGGGGGGGGGGTGGTCACTAAGCAGAATTCAATACTCGAATTAGTGGCAAAAATCTATTGACACTTGCTTAGATCGTACAATTTTCACATTTTACTACCCGTTTTATTATTATTTGAATTGATTTTGGTATTTTTTTTTTTAAATTCTTATTCTAGACATTGAATAGAGGACTTAACGTGCACAGTTGTGTTGTGTAGATGGGGTGTGTTGGTGAAGTGTTTGTTAGTCACGTGTGTTGGTATGTGTGTTTGTGTTGTTCGGGTGTGTTGGTGAAGTGTTTGTTAGTCACGTGTGTTGGTATGTGTGTTTGTGTTGTTCGGGTGTGTTGGTCGAGTGTGTCAATTCTTATGTGGTGTTATATTGGTTGTGGTGTAATGTTGGCTGTGGTGTGGTGTTATGTTGGGTGTGGTGTTATGTTGGCTGTGGTGTTATATTGACTGTGGTGTTATGTTGGCTGTGGTGTTATGTTGGCTGTGGGGTTAGGTTGGCTATGGTGTTATGTTGGTTGTGGTGTTATGTTGACTGTGGTATCATGTTGGCTGTGGTGTTATGTTGGCTGTGGTGTTATGTTGGCTTTGGTGTTATGTTGGTTGTGGTGTTATGTTGGCTATGGTGTTATGTTGGTTGTGGTGTTATGTTGGCTGTGGTGTTATGTTGGCTGTGGTGTTAGGTTGGTTGTGGTGTTATGTTGGTTGTGGTGTTATGTTGACTGTGGTGTTATGTTGGCTATGGTGTTATGTTGGCTGTGGTGTTAGGTTGGCTGTGGTGTTAGGTTGGTTGTGGTGTTAGGTTGGCTGTGGTGTTATGTTGGCTGTGGGGTTAGGTTGGCTATGGTGTTATGTTGGTTGTGGTGTTATGTTGACTGTGGTATCATGTTGGCTGTGGTGTTATGTTGGCTGTGGTGTTATGTTGGCTTTGGTGTTATGTTGGTTGTGGTGTTATGTTGGCTATGGTGTTATGTTGGTTGTGGTGTTATGTTGGCTGTGGTGTTATGTTGGCTGTGGTGTTAGGTTGGTTGTGGTGTTATGTTGGTTGTGGTGTTATGTTGACTGTGGTGTTATGTTGGCTATGGTGTTATGTTGGCTGTGGTGTTAGGTTGGCTGTGGTGTTAGGTTGGTTGTGGTGTTAGGTTGGCTGTGGTGTTATGTTGGCTGTGGGGTTAGGTTGGCTATGGTGTTATGTTGGTTGTGGTGTTATGTTGACTGTGGTATCATGTTGGCTGTGGTGTTATGTTGGCTGTGGTGTTATGTTGGCTTTGGTGTTATGTTGGCTGTGGTGTTATGTTGGTTGTGGTGTTATGTTGGCTATGGTGTTATGTTGGTTGTGGTGTTATGTTGGCTGTGGTGTTATGTTGGCTGTGGTGTTAGGTTGGTTGTGGTGTTATGTTGGTTGTGGTGTTATGTTGACTGTGGTGTTATGTTGGCTATGGTGTTATGTTGGCTGTGGTGTTAGGTTGGCTGTGGTGTTAGGTTGGTTGTGGTGTTAGGTTGGCTGTGGTGTTATGTTGGCTGTGGTGTTATGTTGGCTTTGTTGTTATGTTGACTGTGGTATCATGTTGGCTGTGGTGTTATGTTGGCTGTGGTGTTATGTTGGCTGTGGTGTGGTGTTATGTTGGCTGTGGTGTTATGTTGACTGTGGTGTTATGTTGGCTGTGGTGTTATGTTGGCTGTGGTGTTATGTTGGCTGTGGTGTTATGTTGGCTGTGGTGTTATGTTGGTTGTGGTGTTATGTTGGCTGTGGTGTTAGGTTGGTTGTGGTGTTATGTTGGCTGTGGTGTTATATTGGCTGTGGTGTTATGTTGGCTGTGGTGTTATATTGGCTGTGGTGTTATGTTGGCTGTGGTGTTATGTTGACTGTGGTGTTATGTTGGTTGTGGTGTTATGTTGGCTGTGGTGTTATGTTGGCTGTGGTGTTATGTTGGCTGTGGTGTTATGTTGGCTGTGGTGTTATGTTGGCTTTGGTGTTATGTTGACTGTGGTATCATGTTGGCTGTGGTGTTATGTTGGCTGTGGTGTTATGTTGGCTGTGGTGTTATGTTGACTGTGGTGTTATGTTGGCTGTGGTGTTATGTTGGCTATTATGTATGAGCATAGAGGTCCCATGAAACTAGTATCGCCCTGCATATATTAACGTGAAGTCCACATGAACAGAGATATTACGTAGACTGTGGTTGGATGTTTATATTATCTCCGTCCTGTACTAAATTATTTTCTCCCTTCATGTCCACTCACCGGCCCATCGATCGATGACGGTCTAACAGATCATCTCAAAGATCATCCCATGTGTCTGTAATGGCTAGGTATACAGTAAACTTGAGGATTTTGTCTGCATAAACCCCAGCCAAAAAGTTAAGCTTTGCCCCCCCCCCCCCCCCCCCCCCCCCCAATTTTTTTTTTTTAATTAAAACTTGAACTTAACGATTTTATTGAAGAGAATGAAATTGGGACTTGCATGAAAAAGTCTGTATTTTGGTATATTTAGCCCCAACCCCAACCCTAACCCTAAGGTTTTAATATTCAAATGTCTAGACAACAAGAAATGCACTTTTTGCAATAGTTGCGGCGCATATCTGGATAAGATCCAACACTGACCGTCTCCTGTCGTCCAGGACTACACAAGTTTAAGCAATGGCAAGACATTCCGAACATGTGTACACGTCAAATGTCCATTGTGAGGTGGATATGTTGCCAAAGAACACCACCATGGTAGGCCCGAAGAACATGTTCTAGCCTGCGTCCGTCTTACATACAAGCATCGCCCTCACATACATACACACATACATACATAGTCAAACATAGACACTACAGATGGTGTTTATTTATATATGTATGGAGATCGCTCCATTAGTGAGAAAATAATTAGAAACAGCGATAAAGCATGAAACAACGATAAAGCATGAAACAGCGATAAAGCATGAAACAGCGATAAAGCAAGCATGAAACAGCGATAAAGCATGAAACAGCGATAAAGCATGATAAGCTACTGGGTGGTACAAGAAACAAGTGTGAGTTTGGTGTGTCACCATATTAAATTCCAGAGCTACCTCACCCTACCCCGTATAACAAGATATAACACTACGCGAAAAACTTTTACTCCCCTTTTCCTGTTATAAAATATGTGCACTTCCCCAGTCCCCCCCCCCCCCCCCGCCTACCATTTGTATGTCACGGATCCTAACATATGTAGGTCAGGGAACCTGACATAATATGTATGTCACGGTTATGGTCAAGGCAAGATCCGTCTGACGTAGACTGCAAGGGTATGCCACACTTATAGTAACTGGTCGGTGACATGCTTAAAATAACTGGCCATTCAAATACAGAAAGTAAGTAGGTCAGTCACATATCATCTAAACAAGTAGGTCAGCCACATGCATATACTAACTGGTTATGTAGACAAGTAGGTCAGTCACATATCATCTAAACAAGTAGGTCAGCCACATATATATACTAGCTGGCCATCTAGACAAGTAGGTCAGCCACATATCATCTAAACAAGTAGGTCAGTCACATGCATATACTAACTGGTCATCTAGACAAGTAGGTCAGTCATATATCATCTAAACAAGTAGGTCAGCCACATGCATATACTAACTGGTCATCCAGATAAGTAGGTCAGTCACATGCATATACTAATTAGTCCTTTTAGACAAGTAGGTCAGTCGCATGTATATACTAATTGGTAATCTAAAAGTAGATCAGCATACGCATTTACAAACTGCCATCTAAACAAGTAGGTCAACAGAAGCATACACTAGTTGGTCATCTAAAAAGTCACCAACATCATTATACTAACTGGTTAACGACGCACTAATAACTAGTCCACTACAGATAACTCATCAAGGTGAAACGGATAATCAATTTGTCATGGTTAACAGTTGACAACAAGTGGTATGGTTTAGCCCCCCTGGTTAGAAAGCATACCCTTACATAACTGAACAGTAACACACATAAGCTATACGACTGTGTTACTAGAGCTATATGGTCATATGACTACTAGACAGATGCTTAAATTATATATGGCTACGTACAACCATGCTAAACACTGACAGTAAAACTCGCTTTTTAAACGTGAAGTGTATTCTGCTGTCAAGAATCGAACGGTCCGTAATACGATAAACCAACAGCGTGTCTGAGTGACCGCGGTCAAGCCGAGAGGTCAGTTGCAGTGACCGGTAGTGACCAGTAGGATAGCATCACGTGTTGAAATTGACGTCTCAATATCCCCCTCCGTGGGCTGAGCTTAACCGTTTTCTTTCTACCCGCGTTTTTTTTTTATTTCTGTGATTTTTAATTGTAATGACAGTTTGATCTTCCATACTTCTGGTCGTATTTGACTCGAGACGGCTGACACGCTAAGGGTAAGGTCCGACTTTATCAGACCTATGATGTTTACACAACTTGACACCTTCACGCGAAACCCCCTCTAAACCCCGCCCCTTTTGTGGGCGGGGCTAACCCTGATCGATAGCACTTCACGCGAAAGAGAATTGTACCACTGCAACGTGACGTGTTCCTGTTTGATGATTGACAGGTAGAAATTTCACCGAGGACGCGCGAGATCCCTCGTTGGACGCCGCTCGGCGATCGCGTTCTTTTTGTAACGCCCGCGCTGATTGGCTGGAACAGTTGTTTTCAAGCCAGCGCCGTCTGTAACAGCCAGTCACGTTGGCGCCAGCCGTTTATTGAAGGGGAGTATAGAGATGAGAAATTTTTTTTCTCCGAAACCTCCCCCCTCCCCTCTCCCTCTTTCCCCCACCCCTCCACCGCCCGCTACGAGCTCTGCTAATAGCGGCACTTGAAGCAGTTACTCCTATGTGAAAATGTTGTCATGGACAAGTTGAGGTCGATGATAGGCGCTATCGTAGAACTCCTCTACCCACACATCGGCGCTGTAGTCACATCTACCGTGTTTACACACTACTTAACACGCGGACAGTACTCTCGCTACTAGTATACATCTGGCACTGAGTTCCTACAATATTGGATTTCTCTACGAACATTATTTTGGAGGTTTTTTCAACTTACATTTGGATTTATTTTTTAACTCAGGTTTGTAAATAAACAAAAAAATATTTTTCATGATTCTTTTTTTTTTAATCTTATGATATCTCGTTGAATAACAAAATACGCGAAATCTAGTTATCATGTAAAATGAACGCGAATATTAAAATAATTCGAATTATTATTCTAGCAGTTGTAATGGAGTGGATAACAATGGTGATAATGGTTGAAAAACAATTTAAAAATTATTGTGTTAGGGCTATATTTTTTACATAACTTCTTTTACCTTACCAAACTCTAACATTTACTTGTTATATTTCTCGGTTAAGTTTAAGGGTTTGTTATTTTTGCTTGTGTTGCAAACTGAAGTTATTTAAAACCCGTTAGCGTTAGGTTTAGCAGCTTTAGATGGTTGTTGTGTTGTCACGGATTACAGTAAGGGTTAAAAAGTGATCATTGTTGTATTTAGTGTTTATAGTTAGTAGCTACTGATGTAATTAATTCTGTTATTTAAGGTTTATAGTTGGGATTAACTACTGAATTAATTCTATTATTTAAGGTTTATAGTTAGGGTTAACTACTGAATTAATTCTATTATTTAAGGTTTATAGTTAGGTTAACTACTGAATTAATTCTATTATTTAAGTTTTATAGTTAGGGTTAACTACTGAATTAATTCTATTATTTAAGTTTTATAGTTAGGGTTAACTACTGAATTAATTCTATTATTTAAGGTTTATAGTTAGGGTTAACTACTGAATTAATTCTATTATTTAAGGTTTATAGTTAGGGTTAACTACTGAATTAATTCTATTATTTAAGTTTTATAGTTAGGGTTAACTACTGAATTAATTCTATTATTTAAGGTTTATAGTTAGGGTTAACTACTGAATTAATTCTATTATTTAAGTTTTATAGTTAGGGTTAACTACTGAATTAATTCTATTATTTAAGTTTTATAGTTAGTGTTAACTACTGAGTAGTAATGGTTACCGTAGTGATTGGGGTTTTCCCCGCCTAATTAAGTGGGACCACAATATACAAGAAAAAATACTTAGTTTGACTTAACTGTGGTATAGTTTTTATTAGAACTGTCGCGCTACGGCTATCCCAATAGATGGGCTGTTGTAATAATGTTTCAAGGGTGTGTCCTTATGGGCGATGTTTTTTTTTACTGCAGTAGATGGTAAAAGATTTCAAAATAAACAATTTGGGGGTTGAGGTTGTGGAGTCCATAGCAGAAAATATGACATTCAGCATGTCATATGAAGTCATGACACTTAGAATGAAATATAAATTCATGACATTCAGAATGAAATACAGCATGGCATTCAACATGACATTCAGCATAACATTCAATATGACATGTATCCTGACATTCGATCTGACACTGCATGACCCACACAACTTAACACACAACACAACTACCACACAGCATGACATACGACACCCATACACACAGAATATGAAATGCATACGGCTATACAAACCTACGAACAAACATGTTTACGCATTCTTTAAAACTTTGCGGTGAATTCAAAACTAAGCGCGCATTGTGTACGGAACAAACGCGATCACTTGAAAAAATGAAAAAAAAATCTTCTAAATAATAAATTACAAGAGATAATTAGCTTTAAAGTATTTTTTTTTTTGGAAATGAGTATTCAACAAAACTATGTTCACCATTTATTTTCCGTTGTTGTGTTGACAAAGAGCTTGGGTAGAAATGTAATTCTGGTATTTGTGAACTGTTTTGAGTCCGTTTGTAGTTGAGCTTCAATGAGCGAACATCTCAATGACAGCCACTTACAACAGCGCGACACTTTGGTCATTATTTAAAACATTTATGTAATGTAGAATTTACTATAATGTATGTGTAAGTATAACAGACTAGTCGTCCATGAAAATATTTTTTTTTAAATTAATTTTAAAAATGTGAACTAAGAATTATCAATTGTTTAATAAATATCTGGTTAGGTAACCATTTTAGGGTATGATTTATAAACAGTTGGTTAGATGTTTTATTTTTGTTTTATTTCGCAAAGTATTGTTTAAGCAATTAACTGAGTACTTACCTATTGCATGGTGCATTGGTAATTAAATTGATTATTTAATCTATTTATACATATATATCAAATTATCAAACCCTAAACCAGATCACCAAACTCAAATATCGTTACCAAACCCTAAACCTATCCTTAGCCGTAACCAATACGTTTAGCAGCACCTTAACCCAATCTTCGATTCAATTTAATTTTAAACACTAACCATAGCTGCTGCTCTGTTGTGTGATCATCGTTGAAATATTGTCGATATTTCCCTTCATCAATCATTCAGCAGCTAATTTTAAAATAATTCAACTACGGAACCGCTATTGACTAGAATCAACAATAGTTCAATTGGCAAAGAATTGACTCATAAAGAAAGACAATCGATGCGGGGCTAATCAATGTGTAGCTAATCAAAGGACAGCGAAACCAAAAGTTTTAAAAGAAACTATTTTTAAAAAAGGGTTGATAATACCAGGACGAAAATCATACGTTTTTCTTTAGCTGTTTAAATTGTAGTAGCTACATGTAACAAAATTCAAATTCACGAAATATAATTCAAATTCATTAATAAAATTAAAATTCATTAACAAAATTTAACTTTACTTAACAAAACTCAGCTTTATGTAAATCTCGTCTCTATGTAAAACTTGACTATCAACGTTATGTAACAAAATTAAACTAATAATTTTTAGAACACATTTCAACGTTAAGTAAAAACTACTCTCAGTTATGAAACCCAATTAACCTTAACATATAAAACATGGTCACAGAATGTTTTGTTAGTTAGCTGAGTCCCGTTAATTCAGAAACTTTTTTTCACAATATTTTTTTTTTAGAACATGCACATACGGTCCTATGTAGTATACGGGTCTACTTGACTACTGCCAATGCTATAACTAGGTTTGTTTCTTCTGAAATCAGTTCTAGATCAAAACACGAACCATTCATAATTTAGACAACACTGGCTAGCTACAGACGCATACCTTGGCCGATTCTACACCGTTTTACACATTTTAAAACTAAAATTCTCATTTAAACTAAATTTCTACCTAAAACTTGACGTATCATATTAAAGCTAATCTTCTTTCTAGACTTAACAAGCCTCTACCAATTCCCTTTACTCACCCCCCCCCCCCCCTACAATAACTTCCCCTCCCAGACAAAGTTAGAAGCAAAAAAGACCGGCCGGCAATTCTACTCTAGCACTTTGATGTTATACATGGAGTTATTGCAATTACACAATTAAGTGTTTACATTCAAATACATTCGTGAAATACGATTTTATAAATAAAACATAATTTATTTTTGCTTTGAATCTTTAACTAATTTGAAGCCTTTTATCCGATTATATATATATATATATATATATATATATATATATATATATATATATATATATATATATATATATATATATATATATATATGTGTGTGTGTGTGTGTGTGTTTGTGTGTGTGTGTGCGTGCGTGCGTGCGTGCGTGTGTATGTGTATGTGTGTGTTATTAAAATGTAAATAATTTGTATTCAATTTTTATTTCAGCTGATGTATTTGTATACAAACATCCTTATAATCTAACAGCACATCGTTACGGTACTTAACAACAACATCGTTAACCTTTGACCTTCGTGAGTTGTGTACCTACCAGCATCTGGGGTTCGCGGGACTACTTTATACACCCGCGGCTTGATACACCAGCTTGGACCTACAACCCCCTAGCCGCCGTGGATTATTTTATATGAACTGACCTTTAACCCTGCACAGGACCTACGACCTGATACCACAGGATTACAGAAGACCTTTCGCCCATGGATCTGACCTGCCTGCTAGTCTGGCAACAGGGCACCAGGCCTGTGTAAATACGAGCAGTAAAAACAAAACAAAAACAAAATTTCTATTTCCTTGAGCGGATATCTCCCAATCAACCACGACCCCAGTGTTTCTACAAAAACCTGACCCCCCTGAGTTCTACACCAGACCCCGACTCACCCCCACGGTGCTGACCCCCCTCGGCGAAAGCCCGGCGTCCACAGCGGCGACCACGTGACCACCCCCCACCGGCATCACGTACTACACAAACAGCGGCATGAGCATGGCTATGGCGGCCGAGCAGCACCACTCGTCCGCCTGGTTCGGCCACCCGGGCGACTCGTCCAGGATGGGCGGGTTCGAGCCCCCGGCGCCCTCCATGTTCCCCCCTGAGGATATAAGTGACTTCTTCCCGCCCTCGCTGGACAACAACAACAGCCACGTCATGTCCGGTTACTACTCGTCCCCGGCCCGGGCCATGCACGGATACAGGCCATCTCACGGTAAGGCTTTGTGTGGCCACTGGTTTGGCCGGTCTGTTGAACTTGGTGTACATTGGTCTTATAACACGAAGAAAGCAACCATTGCTTCAAATGTCGAACAAAATATATTTCATTCATTCCCACAACCCATCCAACACAATCACAAATTTTCCTTTCCACCGAATAGTAAATATTCTAAATAATGCTCCAACCACCGAATAAAACAAAGATTTCCACACAATGCTCCAACTACCAAACAAGCCACAAAAAATTCCACATAAAGCTCCAACCACCGAACAAAACAAAAATCCTAACTATTTGCTATCGAACAAAATACAAAATCCACTATATGCTCCACTCACTAAAAAAAACAAAAATTCTCAAATAATACCCCAACTACTGAACAAAACAAAAATTCTCAAATAATGCCCCAACTACCGAACAAAACAAAAATTCTCAAATAATGCCCCAACTACCAAACAAAACAAAGATTCCCAAATAATGCCCCAACTACCGAACAAAACAAAAATTCTCACATAATGCCCCAACTACCGAACAAAACAAAAGTTCTCACATAATGCCCCAACTACCGAACAAAACAAATGTTCTCAAATAATGCCCCAACTACAGAACAAAACCAAAATTCTCAAATAATGCCCCAATTACCGAACAAAACAAATGTTCTCACATAATGCCCCAACTACCGAACAAAACAAATGTTCTCACATAATGCCCCAACTACCGAACAAAACAAATGTTCTCAAAAAATGCCCCAACTACCGAACAAAACAAAGATTCTTATAATGCCCCAACTACCAAACGAAACAAAAAAATCCACCACCATCGTATGATACCGTACCCCACACAGACGTATTAGGTTTCCACCCCGCTTGAAGAAATTTACATAAAATTGTCCATTAAAAATTATAGTCATATTTTTTTCCCCCTTCGTGTTGATGATCGTAGTGAAGCCCGTCCAACTTGAAATATAAGTAGTAGAGCAATTTACGTATATAATATAGACTATATCCTTTCTTGCTATGTAATTGAGTTAGTCGCGAGCATGCATTTAGACCCTCGACCGAGCAGCGAGCTGGTTCATACCTTAAGCACCAGGAGCATTGCTCGAGACTTAACTCTTTGACCACTAGCGATGTTAGCCCTTTTAACCCCACGACATCCGGCATTGTTGAAATATGTATACGCTATATATGTTATAAAACAAACAAGAACACGGTGCCGATACAGGCGAGGCACTCGGTTTATGAGAACAAAATAAAGAATTACAAAGAAAAAAATTATTCGAAGAAGCACTAAGTAAACGATAACATGTTTTTCAAGAAGCACTTAGTATGAAACAAAACATATATCAAGTAGTACAATGAAAATGGTAAAAAATATTTGAAGAAATTATAAGAAAACGGTAAAAATATATCACAAAGCATATGATAAACGATAAAAAATATATTAAGAAGCACCAAGTAAACGATAAAATAAATATACGGAAGCACTAAGTAAACGATAAAAGACGTGAAGCATACAACCAATGATGAGAAACAAAGCAGTAAATGCTAAACGCTCAGCTAGAATCAGTACAAACGGATCGAAAAATAAACTAAGATCGCGGTAAACAAAAGGACAAAAGGTAGAAACTCCCCAGGGAGGACGGGTCGGTTAACCGAACCGTTAATTATTCATGTGAACTCATGTCATGCAGTTTTTTGTTCTTGGGTGTGTCCCTGTCCCTGATGGGGCAATATAGCGGTGGGGTAAAGGGGTGGGGGAGAATATAACACATAAAACATTAGGGGTGGGGAGAATATAACACATTAAACATGAGGGGTGGGGAGAATATAACACATTAAACATGAGGGGCGGGGGAGAATATAACATATAAAACATTGGGAGGGGGAGTGGGGGAGAATATAACACATAAAACACGAGGGGTGGGGGAGAATATAACACATAAAACATGAGGGGTGGGGAGAATATAACACATTAAACATGAGGGGCGGGGGAGAATATAACATATAAAACATTGGGGGGGGGTGGGGGAGAATATAACACATTAAACATGAGAGGTGGGGGAGAATATAACACATTAAACATGAGGGGTGGGGGAGAATATAACACATTAAACATGAGGGGTGGGGGAGAATATAACACATAAAACATTGGGGGGGGGGGGGGTGGGGGAGAATATAACACATTAAACATGAGGGGTGGGGGAGAATATAACACATTAAACATGAGGGGTGGGGGAGAATATAACACATTAAACATGAGGGGTGGAGAGAATATAACACTCAAATAACATGAGGGTGTGGGAGACTTTTACACACATATATAACATCGGGGTGGGGGAAAATATAACACACATATAACATGGGGGTGTGGGTGAGTTCAACATAATAACATTCGATTGAGGGAGAATTCAACACAGACACATAACATAGGGGTAAGGGGGAAATGAACACACATATAACATGGTGGAATGAAACACAATCAACGAATGGGAAACAAAACACATAAAGTATGGACTAGTTAATGCACATACACAGCACATGGCACTTTTTGTGCACATTCGACACAGAATGACTAAACACATATGACATTACATGGAATCAAATAGCATAGACAACATAGAGATAAAATGGGCACACCCATAACAAGACTAATTGTTACTTTTTTTAAAAGTATAAAATAATTTTCTTATAGAAAATAATCTTGTATCATTAATTAGAGGACACGTTGATTAGTTAAAAAAAATAAACTAATCTAACAAAAAAAAATCGTCCAAATATTTATGAATTTCTTGAAGTAAGAATAAAAATAATGTTATTAAACAGATCATAATTAACAGGCGTATTTTAGAAATTAAGTGAATAAAATATTATTTTTATTTGAGCAGGATATTAAACAAATCAATACTAAACAAGGAACATAGAAGTTACCGGGAATTATAGATTTTAAATTAAACTTTTCCAATAATTCCGCATTAATTACCGCACTGAACACTTAACAAACGGTAATACATTGTTTGGTCAAGAATTTTTTTTTTTAGTCAGCTCCGTGTTGAATGTTTGATTCTAGAAGTATTTTTAAAGAGTCGACAATGTGGGTTGACTTTTGGTTGGGGTGGGGTTCGGAGACCGCTGGAGCAAAGATTTGTGGGACGGTCAGTCGGGTGGTTTGAGGACAGGTTTGTGGGGGGGGGGGGGGGGGGGGGGTTTGGCAGGTTGGTTAAGGTTAGGTTATGTTTGTGTGCATAACGTTCATAGGTGTGTGTAATCTTAGGTGTTGATTCGTGGAGGCCTATGTGGGATTTTTTAAAATTTAAAATTAAATTGTATGTGTCCTACGTGTAAAGGTTTGTGTAATTTTGCTGTTTTTATTTTTTATTTTAGTGTTGGTTCTTCAACTTAAACTTACATTTTTATGTGCCCTACGTTTAAATGTATTTATTTTAGTTGTTTTTTTTTTATGTACACGTTTGTTTTCCAATTGTTTTTTCCGCCTATGATTAGCTACCCTTGGCTCGTGGCGAATTTTTACCGGCACTGTTTACAGTTGTGTATATAGCGTGTCACCGCAGCAGAACCTCCACTACCACCCCACGCTGAACCCTAGCTACGCCCCTGGGCCATCGCGTGTAACAAACAGGGTTGCACGCGGTAAACAAATGTTTACTGTCGCCATTACAGTGGTAAACAGACCAACAAATGGGTAAACAGAGGGGAGGTTTAATTATGTGGCTGGGAGGGAGGGTAGGAGGAGGGAGAGAAAGGATTAGAGGAATGTGATCACGTGATACCATTCAAAGGGGGGGGGGGGGATAGTTAAAGTTAAAATGCTCTTTACATAGATTGATTTTTAGGCTGCTAGATTTGTTATGTGTTTAGTAGGTTAATGACCTTAAAGGCCTAGGCATACTTATTGTGTGTAGATTGGGGGGGGGGGCACTCAACCCCAGAAGAATTGTTCTTTTATTTTATAAAGGCCCTATATATATATATATATATATATATATATATATATATATATATATATATATATATATATATATATATATATATATATATATATATATATATATATATATATATATATATATGTATGTATGTATAAATATAGTGTGATTGAAGTCTGCCCGGAAGTGTGTACCCACAGCACCGAGTACAGCTACCCGCTGAATGTAGTCTACCGTATTGGCCTTTGTTCAGCGCTGGTGTCTAGTTTCATAAGGTTCGGTTTTGGCTTGTTGAAGTCTGTGAAACTGTCCCAGTGTGGATCGCGATATTGTATCACAACTGCGCTGTTGTTGGTTGTAGTGTTGACTGTGCTGTTTTTGGTTGTGCTGTTGTTGACTGTGGTTTTGTTGGTTGTGGTGCTGTTGATTGTGCTGTTGTTACTGTGCTGTTGTTGGTTGTGGTGATGTTGGTTGTGATGTTGTTGGTTGTGGTATTGTTGGTTGAGCTGTTGTTGACTGTGCTGTTGTTGTAGGTTGTGATGTTGCTCACAGTGTTCTTGTTGTTGGTTGTGATGTTGCTGACTGTGTTGTTGGCTGTGTTGATGTTGGCTGTACAGCTGTTGTCTGTGCTGTTGTTGGTTGTGGTGGTGGTGTTTGTCGTGTTTGCTACGTACATGGTCAAAGTTGAGTGAGATAATTATCCCCACTTCCTAGTACTAAGAGAACAAACAAAATACCATATACATGGACCTTTGCCTTTGGGTTTAGGAATAGGTTAAGATTTATTTACAGTTTGGTTAATTTATATGCTTTTTCAATTTAGGGTTGCTGTGTTGTTTTTTTTTTTGTTGTTTTTTTTTAAGATTTCAGATCAAGTATTTCGATTTAAGATTTTTTCTTACATTTAAAATTATGATTTAGAACTAGTTTAAATTTTATTAGATGTCATTTAGTTATTGCAATCACCACAAAACTAAACCTTAATTAAATCATCGTGACGATTGCATATTGCAAAAGATAAAACTAAAGGTAGTTTTCAACAAACTAAATT